TCACCAACAACTTGGTCCTCGTCTTACTTGACTTCTTAACAGAAGTGGACCTAGTTGATTGCTCTTTTTCAAAACGTTTCCTTCTCTGGCTCTGCTAACCCCTGGCTTTCCTCTTTCCTCATTGGCTGCTCTTTAATCTCCGTTGTGTCCCCCTAAACTCTAAATATTGGACCACCTCAGATTCTAGGCCTGGGCTCAATTATTTCTCTATAACACCTCCCTGCATGATCTTACTTGTCCCGCGGTCAGTGCCTACCACCCAAATGCTGATGTCTGTCGAATTTTCTCTAACCCCCATCTCTCACCTGTGCTCAGGACTGGGAGAGCCAGCTGTCTTCTCGATACTCCATTTGGATATCTAATGGGCATCGCAGATTTAACAAATCCACTTCTCCACCCCAGTATTCCCCATCCTTCTCTGTCTCAACACATGACACCACCATCCACTAACTGTTCAAGCAAAAACCCAAGGGTCATCCAGGATTTCGTCTCCTTTCCTTTCAACACTCCACCTCCATCTAAACCACTAGTAAGCAAGTCCTCTCTGTTTTTTGGGGGTTGGGCTTTAATATATTTCTTTAAATACATTTGATTTATATTGCTTAGTAAACTAATAGAGACTAAAAGTATTACTAGGTTTATAATGTAAAAGCAGTCTGTTACCCTATCCTACATTCTCATTCCCCAAAGCAACTACTCTCAACTATTTCAGCTAGTTTTTCTGCTATTTGCTTTACTTTTATATTTAAAAATTTCTCATATAGCTAGCTATTTCTTGATTTTTCAGTTTTAAGTCTTATCTGTTGACTTTCACCTCTGGAAAATGAGATTTAGCTCTCTTAATGCCCATTTTCTCCCCCACTAAACACATATACTTACCCTTCTCCCAACCTCCAATATAGCTTTATCACAATTTTCGGTTAAAATCACTGTGTAGTGTTTATATTAGTATGACTCTGTAAATATTTCACATCTAAGCTGTGTAATGTGCTATATGATTAGAATTCTTTTTTTCCTCCCTCTGGCGTTTCTGGAGTTAGTACTTGCCATCTTTTTTTTTTTTTTTTTTTGGTTGTTGAGAATTTAAAAAAACTCTTATTTGAAAATAATTAAAAATTTACAACAGGGCTTCCCTGGTGGCGCAGTGGTTGAGAGTCCGCCTGCCGATGCAGGGGACACGGGTTCGTGCCCCGGTCCAGGAAGATCCCACATGCCACGGAGCGGCTGGGCCTGTGAGCCATGGCCGCTGAGCCTGCGCGTCCAGAGCCTGTGCTCCACAATGGGAGAGGCCACAACAGTGAGAGGCCCGCGTACCACAAAAAAAAAAAAAAAAAAAAGGAAAGAAAAAATTACAACAGTTACAAAAATAGTATGACGAGGTCCTGCATACCCTTCATCCAATTTCCCCCAATGGTAACATTTAAAAAATATATATATATACACACATATTTATTTTGTTTGCACAGGGTCTTAGTTGTGGCATGCAGGATCTTTGTTGCAGCGTGTGGGATCTTTTTTGTTTTAGTTGCGGCATGCATGCGGGGATCTAGTTCCCCCATCAGGGATCAAACCCGGGCCCCCCGAATTGGGAGCATGGAGTCTCACCCACTGGACCACCAGGGAAGTCCCCAGTGGTAACATCTAATACAACTGTAGTACAGTATCAACACTGGGAAAATCGATATTGGTAAAATCCACGGACCTTACTCAGATTCACCAGTCCTCCCAGTTTTAACTCTGTACGTATCTCAAAGTCACCATTTCTGTTTTTGCCATGCAATTTTTGTTCAAGCTACCATCATCTCTTTTAGGATTATGGCAGTATCCTTTTGATTTCTTGCCTCTGCTGTTATTCTTCTCCAGTTCATCTTCAACAAAGCAGCAAGAGGGATCTTCTAAAAACATTATTAGAACAAGTCCTTTATCACTTCCCTGTTGCCCTTAGAATAAAATTCGAACTCTTCACCATGACCTCCAAGGCCCTGTGGGACCTGTCTTGCGCCTACCTCTTCAGTGACTTTTTTTTTTTTTGGCTGCTCTGCGTGGCTTGACCATCGAACCCAGGGCTCCCGCAGTGAGAGCGCCAAGTCCTAACCACTGGATCTCCAGAGAATTCGCCTTCAGTGACATCTTGTACCCCTCCTCGCCTTGACACCTTGAACCCTTCGTGTTCCCTCCGTCTGGTTGTGCTTCTGCAGCCCTTCAAATGTCTTGCCTTTCCTCACCCTTCCCATCTTAGCTCAATGCCCCCCTCCTCAGGCTCTCCCTGATCATCCCAATTAAAGTGAGCCCGTCATTCTCTTATTGCCTCTCATGTGTAAACAATCCCAGTCTATAATAATGACTTACTTATTGGTTTACTTGCTTCATGTCCATCTCCTGTACCACAGTATAAGTTTTATGGGGAAGGAACTTGTCTGTACCATTCACAGGTCTCTTCTCATTACCCTGCACAGGCAGTTACACTCCCTGGCATGGGGTGCACACTTAGTAAATGTTTGAATGGATATGACTGGGGCAGGGACCCTGATGAAGGGCCCATGTGCTCTGAGGGCTGTTGTATCAGCCAGCAGTTGTGTTGCCTGAGAGAGGGACTGAGGCCTGTCCTCGGACTAAACCCGCAATGGCTTCTACTTCCCCTCCCCAAGTCTTTCAGGATATAGAAGAAATAAAATAACATTGCTTTCTTTGTGATCAGCTTACGAAATAGTAGAGCCTGCTTTTCGTGCTAACTCCTACCATGACCCCTCCTCTGGGAAGCCCTCTAGCCTGGCTAGGGGCCCTACATATGTATTCTCATAGCACTTTACTGAGGTAAAATTTACATTTGAGGAAATTCACCCATTTTAAGTGTACAGTTTGATGAATTTTGACAAATGTAAGTGCTCGTGTAAGCACACCAAAAAGTTCCCTTGTGCCTTGGCTGTTTCCTTTTTTAAAAAAAAAAATTGTGGTAAAATACATATAACCATTTGGTGGCATTAAATACACTCACATTGTGTTGTGCCACTACCACCACCATCCATCTCCAGAACTCTTTTCATCTTGCAAAACTGAAACTCTGTACCCACTAAATAATAACTCCCCATGTCCCCTCCCTGTAGCCCCTGGCAACCACCATTCTACTTTCTGTCTCTCTAAATTTGACTTTGTGTGTGTGTGTTGTGTGTGTCTGTGTGTGGTAACATTTACTGTCTTAACCATATTTAAGTGTACAGTTTAGTTGTGTTAAATAACAGCTTCTTTTTAAGGTACATTTAGGTTCAACTGTGAGTGCAGAAAATCCAAATAAGAGTAACTCTAACATGGTATTCCATGGCTGCTCTGACAGTTCTAACATCACTAGGAATCCAGGCTGTTGTACTTTGTGATGTGTAACATAAAACTTCTATCTCATGTTCCAAGATGGCTGCTCCAGTTCCAGCCATTGACTCCACATTCCAGCCAGCATGAAGGTGAAAGGGTTTGAAAAGCACACATTCTCCCTTTAAGAGCACTTCATAAAAATTGTACACATTATTTTGTGCTAATATTCCATTGGACAGAATTTAGACACATGTGCACATCTTGCTGCAAGGGAGCTGGGAAATGTAGTCTTTATTCTGGACCATATAACCTAGTTCTAATTTGTGGGTCCTATTGCTGAGAAAGAAAGAGAGAATACATGTTGGAAAACCCTCAAGCAGTGTCTGCCACAGCTTCTCTGCCTCCTAGCACCAATCACTGCACTGAAATCAATTCCTCACTTCTTACTGGGCTGTAGATTCCTTCAGCCAGGGGCTATGTCTTTTACCTCTTAGCACAGCCAGGTACTTAACGTTTTTTGTACAAATAAATCATTCCAGCACTACTATCTTATTTTATTTTTTATTTTATTTTAATTTTGGCTGCACCGCACGGCTTGCGGGATCTTAGTTCCTTGCAGTGGGGGTGTGGAGTCCTAACCACTGGACAGCCAGGGAATTCCCCTATCTTATTTTTATTTATTTATTTTATTTTTGGCTGCGTTGGGTCTTTGTTGTTGCACATGGGCTTTCTGTAGTTGCAGCGAGCGGGGGCTATTCTTCATTGTGGTGCGCGGGCTTCTCGTTGCAGTGCCGTCTATTGTTGCGGAGCACAGGCTCTAGAGTGCAGGCTCAGTAGTTGTGGCACACGGGCTTAGTGGAATGTGGGATCTTCCCAGACCAGGGATTGAACCCGTGTCCCCTGCATTGGCAGGCGGGTTCTTAAACCACTGCACCACCAGATGCACCTCCCGTCCCCCATCTTATTTCAGAAATCAGAAAAATGAGGCACTGAAGGGTGAAGTGACTAGGGTCATCTAGCCCAGGTTCCCACTGAATTCAGGAAGTTGCTTTCCTACAGGCTGGACAGGTGGCCTCCCCTGACCATGCCCACTGCCAGGCACTCCTGCCTCTGCAGCTGGGCGGCTCCAGCCATCAAAGGCCCCTTCCGGTGTAGAGCCACACTTGGTCTCTGCAGAACTCTCCCATTGGTCCTACACTGCCCTCTACAGCATGTGCCCACTTCCATAGCTTCCCTGCCCCCAGGTCTTCCCTTTGCCAGGCAAAGACGCCTCCCGGGAGTCTTCACATGACATGATACTCCTGAGGGGTGGGACACATTCGGGGCCTGAGAGCCCTGGGCAGGAGGCAATCCCACCTTTGTCCAGAAGCCCTGCTTCAGGGTTAGCAGGAGGCAGCTGACGACCCTCACGCTTTGCCAGAACTCTGAAGGACTCCAGGCCCACTGATTCCTCAGCGGTAGATGAGGAAGTGCTTTACTCCTAACCTGGGACTTGCTTCTTTCACATGTAAAGACAAACCTGCCCATCACAACCCGGGAGCTGCAGACACAGTGAGGACAGGGACATCATGCTGGGGGCGGGGCAGGGGCTGGAGGATGTGTGTCACGGGTCCCCTGGACGCTGGGTACATTTATTGGTTGGCTAGAGAAAGTCCCTGCGTCTCCCCACGGTGACCCCCCTTGTTCTTCCCGAGGGAGCCCCTAGGTGTTGCGAAGACCCTCACGCTGCGCCGTGTGCAGGTGCTCCTGTCTCAGTGGACGGATGTGTGGAGAGGAGCTTCTTTCTCTTTCTACTGAGCAAGGATTCCATGCCCTAAGGTAAGGACCAAGATGGCCAAGGGGGATATGGGGGAGGGGTGAGGAGGAATGGGAAGGGGCTCGGTGGGGTGGGCTCTGGGCATGTGTGCAGGAACCAAGGCCGGCCCCAGCCCTCTTTGTAACTAGCCAAGCCCCTGCAGACGTGCCGCAGCCCTCTTCAGCTCTCCTGACGTGACCGGGGAGGAACTGGCTGCCGTTGTGGACTGGCCCCGCGAGCCCACCGCAGCCCTGGCCCGCAGTCTTTCTGGGTTGGCTTGTGCTGTGAGGCCCGACGGCCCTGCCTTTAAATCATCGAACCCCTTCCCAGGTCCAGGCCTGTTCCTTTCTTCTCTGTCCCAGCCTTCCTATAGCCCCTAGGCCTCAGAGGCCTCTGTGTCTTCTGAAGCTAAGCCCACTCGCCGTGGCCTTGGGCTGTTCTCCCACAGGCGTGGCTGCAAAGAGACCCTTGTTGAGGGGCCGCTAAACTCTTCAAGGAAACAGTGCCAGGGTGACAAAGACCACACAGGAGGCTCACACAGGTGCCAGGGTCTCATGGCTTCTCACAATTGAGGCTGCACACTTGGCTTCCCAGTTCCTTCCAGAAAGACCTTCCAGCTTTAGCTCTTACTACCCCGAGGGTGGCATTTGAACTCCCTTCCCCTACAAAGGCTCTTCATTTTTTGGCTGCAAGCAGGGCAGAGCAAAAGGGCCCTGTGTCCAGGCTGGCTACACTGTCCCGAGTGGCCAACAGCCCATGTGGGGATGGGTGGGTCCCCGTGGTCGGTGACTTGGGCAGCTCCCTCTCTTCCTTGAGGGCTTCTCTTGCCCTCTTCCGGCCTGGCCACTACGGGGGTCACTGGCAAAGCTCAGGTATCAGTGGGAGGTGTCGCAAGAGTGGGAGTCAGTGGCGTGAGTTTAGATCCTGGGCCTTTAAGTAAATGCTCAGAAAAACCATCCTACCCAGTGCTAAATACCAAATGAGTCAGCTTCTGGGTAGTCACTACTGTCCTCCCCCAGATTCCCTTCTGGGGGCTGCCTCACTCTGGCAGCAACTGAGACCCAGAACCACCCTGTGATGCTGTTCTAGTCCCTTCTACCAGGGGGCGCTTTCTACTCAGTGACTTTTAGGGGAGGGAGCTGGGGACGGGCCTCAGTGTTCTCTCCCCACCCCCAGTGCTTTATGTGGCCATGTTGGAGTTAAGAAGAGATGCTTGTCCTCACACCTTGATGATGACGGCAGCTCCCGCGTACCGCCTCGCTTCCCGAGCCTCCCCTCTGTGCCCCTCTCTATAGCAGCTGTAAGCTGACGGGGCATTTCTGAGGACATCCAGACCCGAGAAGGCAGACTCCGTGCCTTAGTGCCTGTTAGCACGTTCTGGAACCAGCGCCATGCGGCTTGGCCCACACATGGGGCAGGTGAGTCCACAGAGAGGGAACATTTGTTTATTCGGGCAAATGTGCCGTGTTAGAGTGGTTCTGAGAAGCCGGGCATGCAGTGGTCCACCCCTGGGGGGCAGGGGGGAGGAGAAGGGCTGCAGAAAGCAGGGATGGGGGAGAGGAGGAGGTGGCGGGTCCGCCCTCAAGGCTAAGGGAGGGGGGCGGGCCTGGGGAGAGAGGAGCAAAGCAGAGACAGACAGGAGGACAGATTCCAGAGGCTTGGTTTTATTGTACAGTATTCTTTTTCCTCAGTGAGACGCCATAAGCTGGGGTGGCACTACACACGGTCACAAGACGGGGAAGAGCCGCCGGGTGCAGAGCTGGCTGCTGGGAAAAGCCACCCCTCGAGGCATGTCCACTTATGGGTATCACCCCACAGCCAGCCCCAGGCCCCCGAGAGGTCCCTGAGAAGGCAGGCCTCTGGGGCGGGGGCCTATCTGAAGGCTCGGGCACTGCTGGGGGAAGACGGAAGAGCCTCCTGGAGGAACACGTGGGCCGAACTCTGTGTGGCTCAACCAGGGGCTCCACCTGATTTACTGCTTCCAGGTCTGAGTTCTGGAAGCTCCTAGGAGCTTGGGATAGCCTGGGAGGGGGCCTGTCCTCCTCTGCTACCTCCCAACTGCTGGCCGAGCCAGTGAGAGACACTAGCTCCCATTTTTAGCTTCCTCAGTGGGGGGAGGGATGATGGACCCTGCCTTCCACCTGCCTCACCAGCCCATCAGCACTGCTTCCTGGGCAGAATCTGCATTTTCACTGGACCAGACGCCGGGCCCAAGGCCCCTTGGGGACTTCTGTAGGGTAAGAAGGCGGCTTTTTTCTGTGACGGAAAGTGCTCGTGGAGACGCTCGGTTCTCTCCTCACAGGATGGGCCACAAACGCTTGGCAGCGCCCTCACATCCGGGGTCTTCAGGCGCCATCCCTACCGCTGAGGGATGTGCTAGGGCCAAACACACCCCTTCCCCTCCTCGCCCAGGTCTCTCCCAGGCCTCTAGTCCCGGTGGGCAAGGATGACCGGCCCCAGGGACTGATACCCCTCCCATCCCCTCACTCTCCATCAGGTCCCCAACCCTGGCTTCCCTTTTCGCAAACTGCCAAAGAAAAGGTAGGATAAGTCCTAAATAAACCAGACAGAAGCAGCTCTGGAACAAAGGGTACAAATAGGCAGTGGCGTGCGGAGAGGGTAGGGGGTGGCAGTGGGGGATGGGAGATAATGGCATGCAGCAGTGGGATTCCTTAGGGGCGGTGGGGTCCCCACTTCTCCCCAAGGTGTGTGGGAGGTTGGGGGGAGGGGGGTCAACTGACTCCGAGAAGTAGGGTCTCTGGACTGGGCCTTGTGGCTTCCTGTATTCTCCATGGGCCCAGCCAGTCACAGGGAGATGAAATCCATGGCCTGCAGGAGGGGCAGCGAGAGCAGAAGCAGGAGCAGCCACGAGGTGTTCTGGATCAGCAGGCTTATGCCTCCGCACTTGACCAGTGTATCTGTGGACAGAGGACGGGGCAGAGAGGCAGGGCGGGAATGAAGAGCGGCCGGGACTCGGGCAGGCCCAGGCCCAGGGCAAGGCTGCTTTCCCTTGGGGAGGGTGGCGCCATGATGTCTTGGCTGGAACCAGGGCCAACCTGGTCTGACAGAACCAACCATCTTTCCCATTTGCAGGTTCCTGAGCCCTTGAACAAATATCATCACAAGGAAACTGTGGGTGAGGTAGCTAGTGCCATCCTGTTTTCCAGGTGGGGAGAAGGAGGTTTGGGGAGGCCAAGTGATTTGCCCGCAGTCATGGGGGAAGCGTCTGCCACACCACTCTGCTTGTCTGACTGTCCCCTTAGCCCTTCCCCCATTCATGCTGAAGGTAGCGATTCCCCCGGGCATAGGCAGCAGTGGGGGGAAGGGGAGAGAAATTATGGGGCCACTCCCTATTGTGGCCCAGCCAAGGGGACTGCCAGCTGTCCCAGCCAGCCCGTTCCTCCCCAGCCTGCCTCTCCCAGCTTCCTTGGTCTTGTTGGGGGTTTGCCTCACCTCTGAGCACAGAGACATTCCTGTTGGAGACGATGGGAGTCTGGCCAGAGAGGTGGAGTGCGCACGTGTAGGTCCCCTCATCCTTGGTGGTGAAGCCCGACAGGTAGAGGACCTTGAGATTGTACTTGCTGAAGAAGTTGGTTCGGGAGCGGTATGCGTGCTCAGGGACCCCAATGGTGCCAAAGAGCACGTGCTTCTTTGTCTCACGCGTCAGGCTGAACTCGTACTGAATGGGCAGGTTGGTGGTATTCTCATGGCGGCAGTCTAGACGAAGGCTCTGGTCCACCAGGCAGGCTGTCAGGCTGGTCACCTTCTGCCCACGGGCCACCTGTAAGACTGGCACCAGCAGTGCCCCCTCCAAGTTGGTGAGGACCTGTAGAGCAGGGGGCCTCCCATCCACGTTAACAGTAGAGAAAGGCCTGGCCAGGGAAGGGCACAGGGTCTGCTCTCTGAGCACCTCTCCCCGCCCAGAGGTCCCTGAGGGCCAGTCTACCTTCCCTACTGCAGGCCCCAGCCTACCTCCCTCTAACTCTAGTCGTTGGTCCCACCAGTATTTTCCAGGGGCAGGAGCCCTTGGGGGAAGTTGATGCAACATCCTGGTTCACACTTGGAGATTCCAACTCAGTATGGGGCAGGCTCAGTGAATTGAGTTCCAAAAACCATCCCAGGCAGTCAGAAGATCAACTAGGTTGCTCAGCTGACTTAGGGATAAAAGGAGCCCTCTCTCTCCCTTAGTCACCTCTACTTTCTGAGGTCATGAGGAAGAAGCTAGCTTCTCTGAAAGGAAGGCAGCCAGGGTGCTTGGAATCCCAGCCCTGCCCCTTGCCCGGTACCTGTCAGCAAGAGAGTGATGCCAATGGTAGGGTTCATGGTGCCGAGAGCTCAGTCCTGGATCTGGGGGTGCAACAGGATGGGAATCAGCCAAGAGGTGGGGCAGGTGTGCCCACACTTACTGCCAGGGCTGGGGGCCCCTGGGAGACATGCCATAATGGCCACGGTGGGCATCCAAGCCCCTCTCTAGAGCCCTCTCCCTTCCCACCTCTCAGTGAATGTGACACTGCCACTCAGCCCTTCCCCATCTGGGAAAGCAAGGGGGTTGGAGAACACACCCTTCCGTGGTGTATATGTGTGCTGAACACTTACTAGCTGGGTGGCTTTGAGTAAGTGACTTTAACTTGACTGTTTCCTCTTCTTTCAGGAAGTCAGGGACTTCCTAATTTTTTAATTGTAAAATTTGCAGAACACCCAATTTATTATCTTCACCACTTTTAAGTGTACAGTCTCCAATCTCCAGAACCCTTTTCATCTTGCAAAATCAGAACTCTCTACCCATGAAACAAAAACTCCTCATTCAGGGCCTACCTATTTCTCGTTCAGAAGAAAATCCCCAGTGCCCAAACAGTTCCTGGCATACAACAGATGCCCGAAAGGTACTGAATGAACCTGGGCTTTAGATACCCACAGGGTTGTGATGGGGATTAAGAAAAATGACAAACATCTGGCACTGCTGGAGAGTAAGTGATCCACGGCCTTAGTCGCCGGCCTCTTAGACGAGCGTGGTCAGGTATGTGTGGGGCCCCAGGTAGGACCGTACTTGGCACACCGCTAAGGGTGTTCCCGACTGTGTGTGGGGAAGGCGACAGTGCCATCCTATTGCATAGGTTCTCTGCATCAGAACCAAGATGTTTCCAATTGTCCAGCTCTCTGGGCAGGATTCCTGGGCCTGCAGCTTTCCAGTCCAGCTTCGGTAGCCTCCCTGCCTAGGCTCTCTGCCCTGTCTTTTTTTTGCAGCCTAGGCTGAATCTATATCCCGGCGAGGCGACACAGAGCGGGTAGCCTAGCCCGTCTGCAGCAGTGCTCGCCAGGGAGAGGCCACAGCAGGGGCGTGTGCCTGCGAGTGCGCGGGGCCGTGCCCTGGTGCGTGCGCCCTGCTGCGCAGGGCGCGCCGCTAGCCGCGTCTAGGGTCCCAGGCGCTCAGCCCAGGGGGGGGGGGGGGGGGGGGGAGGGGCGAGACTGGGGCTGCCGGGTGCCTGCGGCTGCAGTCGGTTCCCTCTCAGACCCCTGCTGAGAGGGACCCGGAGGTGCCGTTGGGGAAGAAAGGGGGGTCGACATCTGGTTTAGATTAGCATACGCTGAGTTACAGAGGGGGTGGCGGGCTTGGGATCTAGGAGAGGAAGCGGGGGAAGCAGCGGCTAGAACTAGAAAGGAAGAAATGGGGCTGGGACTCAAGGGGGTGTAGAGCCAAAGGGAGGGGTAGACAGCTGGAGGGGAGGTGCAGTCTGCCTTTCCTCGGCCTTGCGTCCCCGCAGCTCAGAACCCGGAGAAGCTTTGCGCTCCCTCCTCTCCAGCCCGCGTTCGACTAACCCCACCCTTATTCCGTGTCCCTATTCCAATCCTCTCCTTTCCCAATTGAGGTCCTTCTTCCCCCTCTCTCATCCGTTTCCAGTTCTCGCCTCCCCCGTCTGCCAGCCTTCCTCCCAGTCCCCGCCCCAGCCCCCGCCCGCGGCACTGCGGTTTCCCGTTCCTTGGATGCCCCGCACCCAGCCCGCAGCGAGGTCGCAGGGCAGAGATATCCTTCAGTTTGCGGTCCTCTGCTCCCCCAGTTTCACCGCCCCCCACCCCTGGTCCCGCCTTCGCAGGCTGGCTTTGGGGACGTCTGGCTGGAGAGCAGAACGCAAGGCTCTCCTTGGCGCCCTTCCTCCCGGTTCTCCTCCAGCACCCCAGCCCCAGGCGAACGTTCCCCAGCGGGCGAAAGTTTCCGCGGCCCCCGGCCTGCAGCAGTTGCGTCCGGCTCCTGCCCCTGCCTGGCAAGCAGCCCCCTCCTCAAGCACTGAGCGGCTCCTTCCTAGGGCGCCCTCCGACCGTTTTCCGAAGCCTCGGATCGGGAGGGCCTGCCTGGGCGCCAGGGGGCCTACTATCCCTGCGCCCCGGGTCCCGCCCTGCCTCTGGCTCCTACCTGGGCTC